AAAAAAAAAAAAAAAAAAAAAAAAGAAGCTAAGTACCCCCAAAATGCAGAAAATAAGAGAGCAGACTTCTCAAATCATTGAGGCCAGCTTTTCCCTGATACCAAAGAAGTCACATACACACTAAAAATTATTGCAAAAAATATAGTTATAAAGACATTGCTGTAATGTGGACACCTAATATGGATATTTGAAGGCCTGGCCACCCAGGGATTTTTTTTGGACTCTAGGTTTTGGAGTCCTGAGTGCACTCAGGGGTTGGATTGATTCAATGAAAGTGGGGCCTGAAAGAAAGACTTAAAAGGTTGCTATTGGTTGCATAACTGCAGATAAGACGAAAACATTTTGATAGCAAAAAACAAAAGAAAAAGAAAAAAAAGATGGACTGCAAATAGTGGTAATGGGAACATAGGAAAAAGGAACACTCAGGGAGAAGTTACATTCTTAAAATTTAAGCTTGGAATGCTTGGCAGAAGGTCTGGGACGGGCTGAACTCTAGAAAGCAATCTTTCAGAGTTAAGTGTAACAGAGAATAACAACCCCACTCATTTGTGTAGAATACACTCAACAGAAACCTTGTGCTCTCTTACCTTTCTCTTACACAGCTGTGCAAAGGATTCCACGCTGGTCATGTTCTCCTGCAGCTCCAGCAGCGGCAGCAATGGGTGTCGGAGAGTCATCATGAGCTCCTGCACCCACTCTTTCAGCTGCAGCGGGGACCACAGCATTGGCCTATGGGTGTGGGCGGCTCTGCCACCACCTTGGGCGACCTGTGAAACTCAACCAGCTCAACCCACCCAGGCCCTGGGTGCCAGAAGACTCACTGCCCACATACCTCCCCTACCACGACCCTTCAGCTCCAGTTCACAAAGCAGGCGAGGCTTCCCTTATAGGACCAGCCGTGTCCTCTTGCCTCCTCTCTGGGTTGTCTGCTGTCACCAGCAAGTCCCTGCCTCTACCCTCCAATTAAAAGGCCCCGAAGGCCAAGCTTGAGACAGGAAAAAAGGAAGTTTGTCACTTTGCTTTATTGTCAACCAGTAAAATGGGTACTTTAGTGGTAGTCCTTGTGGCAATAAGAAAAGCCAGTACTTGCTTGCTCTGCCAAACAAACAAACAAACAAACAAACAAACTCTAAGGGGAGAAAGGGAAGATAACAAGAGCCTGGAAGGAGCCAATATAGAGATGCTTGGAATGACCTGAAAGAAGTCCTGCCGAGGCCCCTGTGTCTCTGGATCTGCCTTGGTGGCACATAGAAGTGGGGAGTCCTGCCCTGGAAAAGCTCTGGAGAATATTGTTACAAACGGTGTGTGAGAGGCCACTCGGACACAGGCTTTGTGTGAGAAAAAGCTTTATTCCTGTGTGAACAGGGATTGAAGTTGGGGGCAGATTTCGGCAGCTTTGTGTGAGGAAATGCTGGACGTACTCTGACTGGATGCAGGCAGGGCTGAGATTCTGGATGACTCGCAGCAGCTCGCTGGGAGAGAAACCAAGTTTATATGGGTTTTTAGAAGTGGGGGCTATGATCTGGAGTGGAAAGTTTATGATTTCGGGTTTAATGAGGGTCAGCGCCAGAGTGCGTGTAATAGTGGACTCCCTGGCAAAGCACGGAAACATGGTGGGTGATTTCTTATGGGCTCTCTTGACAAGTGAGTGATCTCCATCTCCATGGGTTAGGAATAAACCATAACTCAAACACCTGAAAGGTAAAGACAGATATTTGTCCATAATCAAGCAAATAACAAGCACTCAAATTCAGCTCTGCTCCCTTCTTTCTATGTTCCCAGTGTCTTCCCAGTTGTTTTTGTAGTAAGACCGTGGGCCGTGTGCGGATCCAAGTAGCACCATGCTCCTTTCTTTCTTGTCCAGCTACTTCGGTTCCTTCGAATTCACCCTGCCCCTTCCAACTAGAGCCTTTTGCAACATGGTTTAAAAACTCTCTCTGTTCCTACTACCTTTCCCGTGTGGTTCTATCACCTGCTGGAGAAGGCTGCACGGTGCCCCTGACTGGGATGGAAGAAACAGAGAGGATTTATTCCGAGGGAGATTCTGGTCCTACAGAGATGGATCTAGTCAAGGACCTGGATGAGGGCTCTGGGGACTGGGTGGATGCCTTCCTGGGGTACACCCTTCAGCCCCATGGGGACAGGAAGAAGAAGGGACCAGAAGCCTGGCAGAGTCCAGCAGTTCTTATGGGATCAGTGTTACCAATAACAGAGACTCTTTTATTGACATGTGCTTTAGCTATGCTCTATGTATCTACAGTACAAAATAATTTCTTTATCCATTTTTCTCAGTGAGCTCCACTCCCAGGGATTAAGATTTCCCAGGAATAACTACCTCCAAGTAGTTTAAGCGAATGTGAGATGTGTAGGAAAAAGAACATTTGGCATCGAAGACTATTTTGGAGAAATGCTGGTAGACAAAGGACGACGATAAGGGTACACTCTCATTATGTTTCCACTTCTATATCAAGAGGTGGGGGAGATGCTACATGTATTCCATAACCAAACATTTTCTTCTGCTTCTCTCAAACTTGTTAAGCACCAATGTCGCTCAATGAAAGGCACGGGTTTCTTGCTTTCATTCATCCATATTGGATGAGACTCGTTACGTTCTAAGAACTGAGTGGGTCCCTTTCATTTAATTTCACACCAGCGTGGCCTGCAGAGTCTCCTGGGACTGGCAGTGACATCGCCTTCTGTACTCGATTACAGAAGACCAGCTGGGAAGGGTGAGGCCTGACTGGCCTCCTCGGCGAGCGCTGAGAGGACAGAGGGCGTGCAAGCCTGCTGAGGTCCTGCAGGGAAAAGTAAAACCACCTGAGGTTATGTTGGTTACAGGGGCAAGTGCCATGGAGGGTGACGGACAGGCGATTCCTGTGGAACTCTAATTGCCCGTGCCTGTGTCTGAGTGAATGACATCAAGGTACGCCATTCGTACGGGGCTCAGCGTCTAAGGGAGACATGAGCCCCCTGGCCTTCAGATCTTAACCGGTTCCTGTGTCTCTTTATTTTTCACCCTCGTCACCCCTTGGTCAGGTTCGAACTTGTCCTTAATCCTGACCCCATCCACCACCCATTCGGTTCTTTTCTTCTACTAGTCGGTTTCCTCAAGCCAAGGAAGGAGATACCTAAATTAAAGTGAAAGAGGAGAAGAGGAGGTAAAGCTGCATCCAAAAACCAAGAGTGCTTCATTTTTTTTTTTTTTTTACAAATGTATGCAATATCTTTGGCCACAAAATTTTGAAAAAAATAAAATTACAAATCAAGTGGCTTTAATTTTACAGGAAAGCTAGAATATTTTAATGGAGAATGATCATAGTAAAATAGATACAACTATAGGATCTCTTGTGTTCACTAATAATGCACATTTTGTGATATACTCATCAATTCCTTTGTTGTCAAATAATTCTAGTTTTAATTTCTTGGAAATTGGCTAATCATAGACTTTGATATTAATTCAGTATATTAATCCTTCAGCTTTATACTCTTAAGCATTTGATTATCACCAGAAACTGCTTAAGGTGCTTTTAAATTGTGCTAAGGAGACTTACCATGATATCTGCGCTCCTAAAATATTTCGAAGTGCACATTACAGTATTATTAACTACTGGCGCATTGTTGTAAAGCAGATGTCCAGAACTTATTCACCTTCTATAACTGAATCTCTCTGCCCAGCGGACAGCAAGCTCCATTCCTCTCTTCTTCAAACCCTGGAAACTACCATTCTATTTTGATGAGTTTGTCTATCTTAAAAGGAAAATTGTGTAGTCTTTGCCCTTCTGTGATTGGCTTTTTTCACTGTGCATGATCTAGAAATTCTACTTCTGGATACCCCTTTACAGGAACAGAAATCAGGACCAAAGACATCTGCTCTCCTGTGTTCGCTGAGTCACTTTCATAGCAGCCAAGATGCTGAAACACCGCAAACATTACTGGTGGAATGGCTAAAAAAAATGGATATATCCGTGTACAACGGAACAGTATTCTGCCTTCTAAAAAAAGGGAACCCCCCATAGTTAATAGTACAAGCGCATTTATTTTAAATTAGCCATAGAATTTTGGTTGGAAAAAATGGAAAATCTCATGTAACCTGTCACCCATACAGATTACAAGTGAGACTCTGCACACGGGACAGAAAGCATATACTGTACTTCAAAGTGCTGAGAGGAAAACAGTACTGACAAATGAGGACTAGTCTCCAAGTATGAGCAACAATCTGTTATTGGCTGTTACAAGGTGGAGTCCTCCCTCCTGTGTCCAGCTTCCCCAGGGGAAATGAATTCAGGCAGGCGGCAAGGGCAAAATTCTGGGACCAAACCCTCGTTTCTATGCAGAGAAGTGTGAATTTCTAGGACGGTGGGCTGGCATTTGAGAGTGAAAGGGGTTATCGCCACTTTTTTTTCCCCCTAGCAGTTACAAAGTTTTTCTGTAGCCTCAGCAGTGGCAGAGGGACCTAAAACCCTAATAAAGCACCCATCTGTGCAAGGGAACAGGTAAGAAGACTTCTGTCGTCTGAAGAGTGAACATTGTGTTGTTCCGCTTTTTCTGTTGCCGTCTGCCTGCGACTTGCTTGCCACTGTGGAAGTGTGAGGGGTCCTGACCAGTGGGAAATGGTAGGTAGGATTCTAAGGAGAAGAGAGCTGGTCTGTGCAGGAGCCAGTACAAATCCCAGACACACACGGAGCTGCGCATGCACAGAACAGACCCAAAGGGGCAGAGTGCAGTTCTTTCTTACATTTTTATAGCATGCTTTCTAGTAACGAATTATCTGAATTTTCTGTCACCTATTTCAACATTTGTGTCTATTTTGTGTGGTCCTCAGTCCTTAAGGACAACCCCTTCCTACACATACAGTACCCTGGTTGATCTTTTCTTTCAGTACAGAAACATATTCTTCCAATCTCTTCTGGTTGGTGTTTTGTTGTTGTTGTTGTTTTTTTTCCGGAGAAGTCCCAAACTTTCACTTTACCTATTGCTTTGTATTTAACATACCAGTACTTCCCAGTATTTAATCTGCTTTACTCACATCTAGTGCACGTCTCATTTCTGGTTCTTTCACTTACAGTTCATCCTATCTTCTTTTTCTCTTAGATTTATTAGCGTGTCTTCCTGAAACATGACGCCAACTTTCACTGTGGGTATTTGGTACGAGAACATGGGGCTCCTTCATTCTTTTTTATTTCCCTTCCCCTCCATCTTCCCCTCCTCTTCCCATTTGCAAAAGATCTCCCCGTTCCTTTTAAAATTTTAATCAAACATGAATAAATGGCTCTCCTCTGGAAGAAAAGGGCTAATTTTCAAGACTTTCTCTTCTTATCTCCTCATGAGTTTGCTCTTCCAGCCTTGGCTTTCATAGGCTGAGGCACAGAGGCTGGGACTTGTAGGAATCACCTTTCTTTCAGGTCGCGGAACCCCTGGCTGGATGGGCCCTCTTGGCACTGTTTCCTGTGCAAACCACTGTTGGGAGTGCTGGGAACGGCTCTTTGTTCCACAGGGCAGAACTATTTGGTGGTCGGTCCCCAGTTCCTATCACCCCCAAGCATGCCCTATGCTTACGCTGACCATCGTGTATTCCGGCTTTCTTTCCATTTAGCTGGGCGTGGTGGCGCACGCCTGTAATCCCAGCACTCAGGAGGCTGAGGCAGGAGGATCGCTGTGAGTTTGAGACCAGCCTGGGCTACACAGTGAGTTCCAGGTCAGCCTCAAGTACATAGTGAGACCCTGTCTCAAAAAACCAAAAAACTAACAAACTTCTTTCCATTTAGTCTAATCTATGCCTCAACAAACAAACAAACAAACAAACAAACAAACAAACAAAGAAAAAGAAAATTACCTCAAAAAATAGCATAATACCCTCCACCGATTTTAGTTATCACAAGAAGGCAGCCACATACCAGGGCAGATCCCATTCCTGTGCCTGTAGAATTTCTTTATTAGGTTTTGTACATTTTTCAGAGTCTCCCTTCTACAAGTTTTATCTGTTTTTGTTT